TTTTGGATTAAGAGTGAGACAAACAAAAGTATACCGTATAGTCGGAAATTTTCGTGGCCCAAAATTTTCATGGATTTTACATTTTTTCAAAACTCACAAAAAATAAAATCTGTGAAAATCGATTTAGTACGGTTCAAGATGGCCAAAAAGTAGAAAACCACGAAAATTAAAGCAACGAAATTGATTTTTAGGTAGATCCGCAAAAATTTTTGGCCATGAAAAATTTCCTGCTATACGGTACTATCTACTTACTTTTGTTTTATAGATTATAGTATTATTTTGTAATCATCCTGTTACTGGAGAATTAATTCATTCATTCCTTAAAGTAGATAAAGATGAATTACTACCCATAGTACTGGATAAAGCTTATGAGGTTTATTATCTTTAGTTGATTTATTTCTATTAATTCTTCTATTTTTGTTTGTTTTTTATCAGTTAATGAAACTAGCTCCTCATATTCCTATTGAGAGATGTCGTTTGGTTAAATATGATTATTTTTTTAACGTAATGAATCAGTCCTTTGATCTTGATGAAGTAATTATATTGTACTGTACATGTATACCATATTTCTTCGAATAAGGGCCTAGGCATTTATTGCTTAATCATAGATAACAGAAGCAAAAAATCACGAAAAATAAAATAAAAAGTGCCAAAACCCGGGCTTGAACCTGCGACTTTACGTTCTGAAGACTGAGGATGAACAATTAGGCTATTTGGACCACTGTGAACAGAAGTGCACACATTATTGGGTCAAATATGCGTATCTATAATGGTACTACATGTATATTAGTGATAGGCACTTATTTAAGTAGGGGCCCCTATTCGAGGAAATACAGCATGTTATTATTATTATATTTAGTTTCAACATCAAAGTATTGGACAGATAATGAGTATGGCTGGACGTTATGGATTATTTTTAGAAACTCGCAAAGAAAATGAAACCTTTAAGAAATACAATGGTCAAGGTGGGTGTGGTTTATTACCATGACAATATCTCTAATTACATGTACATGTGTTTGATATTATAGGTATTAATCTAAAGGTATCAGTGATTGATCTGTCAACTGGTGAAGTAGGATCAGCTAAACCAATGAGAGCAGAGCTAGGTTGGACTATTGGAGAATTAAAACAAGATATAGGAGAAGTAAGAGGAAAAATATATTAGTGTCATTTATATTGTTCTTCTTCCCTCCCTCCATTAATCTGGTACATTTTTTCTTTAGGTCTTTAATATCAATTCATCATGTATGAGACTAGTATCGGAGGAGTATAATTACTTAACCAGTGTTACTTCAGTTCGTGATGTTAGTGATGTAGGAGGTACTTTAAGGGAGATACCCTATGGAGGAAAGAGAGTTAGTTTTAAATAAGTACTAACATTAATACTGTAATAAACCATTGAGGAGGCCTTTTTGTGATTTACTCAAGTAGCATGTGCACATAGATGCTGATATCATTGATTATGTGTAGAACAAAATGGCAAATATAGAATATTATATTGACAAGTCTACCAATTTTATTGTATTGTTGTATTAAATGTATTCTAATTTTATTCTTTTTCCTCCTCTTTAACACACACACTCAGTTGCTCTATGTATCATCAGATCCTAAAGATTATAAAAAGGAATTTGAAGATAGTTTGATGTACAGATATGTTGATTTTCACTGCAACTGGATACTACTGAACATTACAATACCTCCTGGACCTAAAGCCACACCCACTACAACTAACATACCTGAAGGAGGAACAAAAATGAAAATTATATTCATAAATGAAGGAAATAAAGAAAAAGAAAGAAGTAATAATAAATATCATAATATAAAATCATTTTTTATTTAATACAGAGATACAGGTACAAGTTGATGAGAGAATAATATTAGCTCAATTGAAGGAGGAGCTAGTTCCACTGATTGGTGCACCATCTACTGGTTTTATAGTGTATGAAATTAGAGATAACAATAAAGAATATGAAATTGAGAGACTGGATAAGACATTTAAGCACATGTATATTGCATCTGGATCAGAGGTACATGTATGTGTGTTATTTTGATTAACTTCATAATTGTTTATACTACTAGTTGATAGTAAGACTGGGTAGAGCATTAAGAAGAGGAGAGAAAAGAATTCAATTATATTTATTACAAGTTAACAATACAGAAGTATAACTACATGTATATTTAATTGTTAATAATTTGCATTGATTTTTTGTTTATAGTTCTGTAATTTTATGATGGAGTCTATTGTTGCTAAGTATACACCAGTGAGAGAATTTAAGAAACAAATTATTGAAGAAGCAAAAGTACAAGAAATTGACTGTGTCCTTGAATTAGAAAAGTAAATACCGTATATGCCATATATTTTACGGGGATTAAATTTTGCAATACTTGTGTTTTGCAAAAATTTTCGAAGTTAAAATCCACAAAATTGATTGTAGTAGGTTGTAATTGCATTAAAAATTCGTGAAATTTTAATTTGCAAACACAAAATTGCAGCCAAATTGTGAAATTTTACACCCACAAACTATATGGTGTACATCATGTGACTATCATGTGACTTATTGTGTATAGAATGAGATTACGTAAAAAGATTGGAATTATCCCTTATTCAGTATATCTTGATGATGAGGTGATTGATGCTAGTATGGAAATGTATGTGGAACCATTGAAAGGTCAGTATATCTGCTGTATGTGTTAGTATTAATGTGTATAGTGTATTATATCCTACTGATGACGCACATCAAAGGTACCGCGTGCACTATAACCCAGCAAGACCACAGCAATGATCTAAGCCACCCACAACAATGCTTTAACCCACCCACAACGATGTTATAACCCACCCACAATTGAATCAAATATTTTTGCTATTATTTTGAAAAAAAAAAAACAATTATTCTTGATGGTCTGGTGTAGGATTATATGCACCTTGATACACATTAATTGTGCACCCATTGAGAGATGCTGATCCAAAAGAGAAAGTAGGTACAACAGTCCTAGATGAGCATTCCAGGTTTAATACCTGAGAGCTAGTGGTAACAGAATTGTGTTCCTTCACACTTTGTGGAACTACACGTAGAGCTTTGCATGCTTCTTCTCTCTGCCTTTCTGATATGCGCTCATACTTTCTTAAACCATCCAGTGATCTGTGACCTGTTCGCTCTTTATTCTCTTTCATATAGCGATATAGTCCACACAACAATAAATACAATGTCTTAGGAAGATAACTGGTGCTATCTTTCTTTCTCGTACCTAAAATATATCTCTGTAGCCATAGAGAAAGCTCAGTGGGGTTGTCGCTCAACAATACATCGTCAGGGCATGGCTCCTCGGGGTGACGACCGTTATAAGACGCTTTCCAATTGATAAAATTCTTTACAGCCCACTTCGTATTGACGGCAGTATTTTTGGGTACGAAACCACCTTGATGACGTCTGTAAGGGTTTCTTCGGACTCACAAATCTCTCTCCATCTTCTAACTCCGCTTCTGTCTCTCCCTCTAGCTCCTGTAACGATTCAATCTCTTCTTCGGGCACTGTTTCGACCTCTTCAACATCTGAACTCTTGCTTCTTAATCTCTTACTCACGGGCTCACAATCAGTAGCTTCAGCCATTATTCAATTCCAGCACGTGCCACGCGGTATTCTGCGCATGCGTGTGCGCAGAGCCTTTGATGTGCGTCATCCTGACATAAGCAACTTATAACATGGCTAGTTCGTGATCTAATTTACAGTCCCCTCCCCCTCGGGCGCATGCGCCCTCGGGATCGGTGACTGTAAATTAGATACATCACTCCTAGCCATGTTATAAGTATTACTTATTATAATTGTTATTAATGTGGGTGGGTATTCCTGAGTTCAGTCTTCATCTTTATTATAGTTGTCCTTTTTTTATAAAAACTGTCGTTGATCTTTACTTTTGTAACATATCTCAGTTCTATTTTCAGTATATTGTATTGTACACACTAGATGTAGAAGTATTTTATAGTAAATTTAATCTTAGCTAGTGTATTATTTCATTAGGGCCAGAGAAGTATGAAGGACAGATACATGTGTATGTTATAAGATGGTGTCCATCACAATGTTCAGTTGATCCAATAGAAGAAATTATACTGGATAATGATGATCCTAAACATGTTACCGGAAAGGTATTGTATATAATAAGGATCGTGTCAGTATCACATTATTATTGTTTTCACAGCTTTCACAGTTGAGTGGAGTTCCTGTTGAGTATATCTCTTTTTCACTGGTTAATCATTAAAAATTTTTAAATTTACTCTCTCTCTTTGACTCTATTAGGAAACATCTTTTCCAGTTGAAATATCATGTCTTGATATTGAGAATAAGTTGGAATGGTATTCCATCAATTCAGACAGCTACTTATTACTGATATATGGTGATGGATGTGTCATATATTACAAGTACTAATGAACACACACACACATTATGTATACACACACACTTACATACACCTCTTACTGTTTATAATTATTTAGAGACAATAGAGAGACAATGAAAGAGTTAACAGATAAAGAGAGATCAGAAATACAAGAGGCAGAGGAGGCAAGGTCAGTAAACCTCATGTTTCATCATGTACATGACTACATGTACAATCAGCTCATTACATTCCTCATCACTTATACCATTTATCATATTGTAGGTTGAAGAGGATTAGAGAATGCAAATCACAGCCTAGGCACAGATATTGATAACAGGATTGACTGAAATGGATTAGTTTAATTTTTAAGTGTCATATTAATTTTATACTTTACTCTGCCGAAATTACTTGCTATTACATGTATATAATTTTTCTCAATTAATACGGTCATAACACAGTGCCTCTATTACATTTTATGCTTCTTTTATGCTTTTTCAGTGCCTAGTGCTGTACATGTATATTGGCTGTTTCAACTCCACCCCTTGGACCATTATTGACCATACAGCACTCTATTGTGATAGAACAGTGCTGTCAGATAATTTAGCTTTAATTCAAAATAATTAAAACAATTATTACTGCTAATCACAAAGAAAGAAACAGAAATCCACTATATAAATCAACAATATACCATCAGTCACAGTTTGCTGTCCTTTTTCTAAGTATACAATTGAAGCAATAGATACGTTGCACAGTCAGAGTTGGTCCAATACCTAATGTGAGCTGTGATTGAGTTTAAGTAACTGTTCTCTTTCAGTCCGTCACAGAACATAAAATCAAGTCCCTCATTTAATCGATCTAAAGATAATAAGTATATAATATTATAAAAAATGGATCTAGTGCGTGTACATGTATCTCCCTACCTTCAGGTAGTATTTCGGTGTCATCAAAAGCCTATAGGAAAATAATAAATAATATTGACTATAGCCTATTATCCAATACAATGAAATTATTAAAATATTAGTTATTTGTAAAAATGCATATAATTCTATAGAAATCACTCAAGGATTATAATATGTACTGATGTTTCATTAATAGCTTACCTACTTTATCATGAGGTAAATGATTTACAAGTTTCAGCGCCATTACTAGAAGCAACACTTAACTACAGCTGATATCAGTGATTGTGTCCAGCTGCTGCTACTGCTCTTAGTACTCTGTGTCACTTCTGGTGTCTTGGGTCCTTCAGCTAGACTGATTGATTTCTGCGTTGGTTTGCTACTAGCAGTGTCCATCTTTACTGGCTTCACTTGAGCATATACTGGACTCCAAATAATAGGCCTGGATTAAAATTAACAAGTATAAAAGATATCAAAATTTGATTTTAACATCAAACACAGGCAACAAGTATAAGAATAAATACTGTACCATAAACCCATCTCATAATAGCAGGCTCTACATGGACACTACATTATAATCATACATGTAGTTGATACTAAACTCACCACAGGATCTGAAAGATGATGTACATTATGAATCTGTTAGCAGAAGCCAGCAGTGAATCAGCTCCTTTGCTTTCCTTCACTAGTGAACTATGTTTCATTAGCATTAAGAGTATACCCAATGGAGACCCAACAGCAAATAACTGATCCACTTCAAACTTTATAGAACTGAACCCCTATCTTTATCCCTAGCTCTGATTCAAGTTTTGGAAACTCTTATTCTTAATTTCTGTAGCTCTTCAAACTTTTCATCAGACTCATTTTTAAATGGATGATCTGGCGGGAAAGGAAAGCTGGTAATTTTTTAAACTCTCCAGACTTGAATTGATATATATAACTATCCCCTTTCCTTTAATCTCTCTTTTTCCTCTCTCCTTCTTTTCTAATCAAAATAAATGCCCATTTCTTCCTCCCTCCCTCTCCTACCTGTTAAATCAATGTCCATTGGTATACAATCTCTTTCCTTTTCTCCAGTAGTCCATTGATACAACAGGTCTCATACATCAGGTCATAGCATATTACGCTACCAAGCAAATGAGCAAACATTGATACTGTCCCAATATTTGAAATAAAATCAAAATTACGTCTTGTAAATTCGTTGTACGTATTTCTTGTGCAGCTGCCAATGCAGAATAACCATCAAGAATCTACAACAAATACACACCATTGTTAGTATATCAATAGTATTGCTAGTGTATATGTACAAGTAGTTCATACGGTATTCATAATAGTTTATTAAATACTGGAAGCTGCTAACCTCAGATCCAAACCGAGGGCTAAAGTAGAACATAATGTCAAGTATAGTCATTCACATGATGTGGAGTAACACTAGCCACGGCATCTACTAAGAAATGTACCACATATGTATAGGGTATTATGTCAAAAATTAAAAGAAGAGAATTCCCCATTTTAAATTTTCTTTCTGATGCATTTACATGTTGTTTAGAAAGTATGAGCTGATTTCAATCAAGGTTGGATTTTTTACAAGTTGCTCCATAAGTAGGAGTCTGTGTACAGGAATTTTGGCTAAATTTCGTCAAAAATGAAAAGGAGAGACTTCTTTATTTTTATAATTTTTTTCCGATACATATGCATGTTTTTATATTGTGCATTAAGTTTGAGCTGCTTCCGAACAAGATTGGATTTTTTACAAATATTTGAAGTGGCTCCAAAATCAGGCCAAAGACCAAAGGCTATCATCATCCTTTGGTGATTGGCCAAAATTTGTCAAAAACAAAAAGGAGACTTCTTCATTTTAATAATTTTTCCTGATACATATTATACATGTACTTATGTTGTGTAGAAAGTTTGAGCTGATTCTGATCAAAAGTAGATTTTTTATAATTCTTATTAATTTTCAACTGGGCTATACTATGGATTTAGTTAATAGCATAAGTATAATAGTAACTAATGCTAAAGAACAATAATAAACAAGGATATTATTATAATATAATGCTTTACCTGTAGTTTCTGATGTAAGAGACAACAAGACATGTCAGGATGACTCTTCCCTAAACTGAGACAGTTCATGTACATAATGTAAACTGATAGTTAATTATAGTTACCTTGGTAATGCTATACCATTCTCCCACCTGTAGCGCAGTTCCTGTATCACTTCATACCAAATATGAGCCATTGCTTTAAGACCTAGAGACACAGAATACAATATGACCTTTGATAGTGTGTGTACATATGTAGTGGAATGTACATGTACATGAATATTGAATGTACATTGTGTATGTCACAGTAAGTTTATACATACCATAATCATTATGAATGTTACAGAAAGCTTTGGCTAGACGCATTGTGAGACTATTAGGAGGAGCTGACTTTAATTCACAAGTGAGAGAATCCTTAAGATAAATAATGATAGCATGATTATTGTGTAATGAAAAGATAAGACAAACTTCAGTTAATTGTTCATGGCCAGAGACACTGCTACCAGGAACAGAATCAGGAAACAAACACTAAAAACAGAAACAACACAAGGAAGGAGACAAAAACTAAGAGAGGAATAAACTATAACTCCAAACCTCAAGTATTTCATCT